CGTAGATCATGATGTTCTGTTAGAATCGCTGAAAACTGTTTTCCAAAATTCACAGCGGGTAGTGTACAGCATCGATTTCTGTGGAACCCAGTAGCTGTCAAAACTTTCACATTTTTACGAATAACTCGGAAATCGTAAATTTTTCAGGTAAAACGTTTGACACAAACTTAACTTAAATTTTGATGGCAAATCTGAAAATGAATGAAAAAGGGGCAGTTCCATTTAAAAAACCAAAGTTGGTAACTACCACACGTTTATGATACACCCCGTATATTGGAAAGTAATTTTAAAATGTGGACCTTTTAAACATGAAAAACTTTCGTAGGACGTATTTTCTTGTAAAGTTCATATTTACTGAGATATCGCACTTTGACGCACTAATGAGCAACCCTGTATATAATAATAATAGTAAAAAACAAGCCATCTTAAAAGAATAATACCAGGACTAATTGCAATTCACTGTGTCATCCACCGACAAGACCTTGTAGCGACAAATTTGAGTAATAGATTGCACCAATCGCTTCAATTTGTGATTAACGCAGTTGATAAAATAAGAAGCAATGCTTTGAATGCCCGTTTATTTGCACTATTGTGCGATGAAAATGATGACGATTTCCGACTGCTCTTACATACTGAAGTATGCTGGTTGTCGAACGGTGCATGCTAATCGAGATTTTACTCACTTTTCGAATCAGTGATAGAGAGTCTGAAAACTAAAGCACCAGATTTAAAAGAAAATCTGATCAAATATAAAGCGGACATTGCGTACTTAACAGATTTGTTCATAGAATCCAATAATGTTAACTTGCAGTTACAAGGGGACAGCCTTAATATATTAAAAAGAAGTACCTTCGGCTTTCCTTGGTAAATTGAAATTAATGAAGTAAAATAATAGTCGGAGCGAATTCTTCCAGTATCCGCACTTGTCACAGATAGAATATCTTGATGAGAATATTCTGACATATGCTCAACATTTAAAAACCCTGGATGATGACTTCAAAAATAGATTTGAAGATATTCTGACTATGGAAATACGACCAAGGGTCATACCACTTTTTGATGAAACGGAAGAGGCGAATGTGGTATTACAAGAAGAGCTGCCTGAGCTCAGCACCAACGAGGAAATGAAGCTGCAATTTAAAAAAGAATATATCCTGCGCTGTGGGAAATTGTGAGAAAATGATATGATCATTTTGATAGCGTTTCCCACGTCCTATCTTGTGGAAAGAAGTTTTAGTGCCGTTAGCATCACAGAACGGGGAGATTTGAGATTATAATTATAGTATAATAAAAGTATACTTCTTACAAAACTGAAGCCAAATATTGATAATTTGCAGTCAATTGATCAAGTACATCCGTCTCATTAAAAGTATCAGTATGAGAAAGTATTGTTATTTTAAATTTCAGAGTTCGTTGTTAATTGTTTGTAATAATAAATGTTTATAATTTTGTGTAACCACAAGTATTATTTTAATAAATAGGGCACAAGAAAATGGGCTATTTTTTTCCACCCAATTCGGCGTGATATATTTGAGGAGTTTTGGGAATACAGTAGAAATGTAGCAGCAGGGGTTTACCGAAAATAGTAAAACTTTAAAAGTGGTCCACGATAAAAAAGTTTGGGAACCACTGATCTATATCATTAAACGCTTAGATTGGCTTTATGCACATCTGATTAATTTTGCCTTTCGATTCATGTACCTACCCAAAGCGGTATCCGAAAAATTAAATAAAATTGTTCTTCGACTTCTGCTTTATTAAGGCATTTTGTCTGTTTTGAATGAGTTTAGGAACTTTTAAACATTTTAAATTTCCAGGTATCTAATAACCGAGAGTTAATAAAGTGTTTGCACCTTTCATACTCGAAAATCTACGCTTAAGGTTTATGAGGTTTGTGAGCTGAAGGTCAAATCAGCGGAACATTTAAACAAGAAACCGAAAACTCTATTCCTTATCCTATCCTACTTAATGGAAAGCCTCTACGGGCAATAGGTAAACACTTGAGGCTCGTTTCTGCTCTTATTTGTTCCACTATAGCCAGAAAGGAGTATACCCTTCCGTGGTTCACACCTGCCAACTTTTTTGGCTCAATTGAGATTTTCGTTTCCCAATTCTTAAAAAATTTTGTGTGTATGATCCTAAAAGGGGTGTAAGGAAGTGAGGCGCATTTTTTAGCTACTCCTACCCAAACGTCAACCTCACCCTCCATTCAGGAAAGACGTAGTGTTGCCACAAAAAAGATTCTGACGACCGAAAAGAACATACGGAGCAAATGCCGTTGTTGAGATTCCTGAAAATCCACACGGATATGATGAAAACAGCAGCGTCGTCGGCATAGCAGACCATGCTAATAGCCCATGTTATTCATTCTGTATCCCGAGTTCAGGGATGTTACTTCGTTAATGATTTTGTCCATTATGAGGTTGAATAGAAATGGACTAAGGCGATCTCCCTGTCTAATTCCCCTTTGGGTGGGGATGATAGGTGTTATATGCTCTCCATATTTGATTTGCGTTCTGTTACCAGCGTTAGGGTTGTATATCGTGTTGAATATCTCGGAAATCAGACACCAAAATACCAGTGAAATACAGTCAGTGACTTAAACAAATAAGAGCTCGCAGGTACTGAGGAAAAACGACAGCCCAGGTTCAAGAAATACTACGATTAAAGAGGAAATACTACTCATAATGGATAATTTCTATGGAGATATCTATAGGCTCCGAACATATTACATATGTAACATATGAGATTTATAGCGCTCTATACCAAATGACGAACGACAGAGCACCAGGAGACGAAGGAGTAAGAAGGATAGACGCGATTAAGTCGGGCAGAAGATGTATCATGCAGGCTCTTAGCAGACAATTCACAGAATGCCCGCTTAGAAGCAAAAATCCTGGCTGCGGCACAATGCTTTTATCATTGTTCTACACAGAAAAGGTGATCGCACTGATTTGACTCAGTCAGATCAGTCTTCTCTACTCTCACGTTCATAAACGTTCTTCGAAAGTAAATTAAGTGGTAGTCAATTGCTTAGAACCTAATTTCTACTTTTATCAACCGAGGGAGCAGGCGAGAGTTCGAAAGGGCTGTGGAACAGATGATCAACCATAGATATATGAAATCGACCACAGACATATCAAAGATATGTTAGAGCACATGATCACACGAACAGACTCCAAATGTGAAGAGGAACCAGACAAGGAGACACGATCACACGAAAGATTTTCACCACCCTTCCGGAGCCCATGTGCAGACGAATCAATTGGGGTTTGTCGGGCATCACTGCTGATGAAGAGAAGTTGGGTCGTCTGCGATTTGTGTACAATATAGTCTTAATAGCGGACAGAATAGACGATGTATGCAGAATCTTGCAGGAACTTTACAACGTTTCACGTCTGGTGCAATTGGAAATGGATCTATCTAAAACTAAATATATGAGAACCCTTGTAACGAGCAGCTGAATGTGTTGCGCCGCACCCCAATGGAACAGGTTTTCTCTTGGGCTCTGAAATCAGCAAATACAAAACAATCTCTAAATATAACCAAAAAGACACAAAATTATATTGAAAGAACGATTTTAGGCAACATTATAAGGGTGTTATAAGTTAATTATATATTAACATCGTTCTGGAGTGACCGACGCCGTAGCGATACTAAACTGCGTAAAATGGAACTGGGCCGGCCCCGTGTCAAAAATGTACGATAGGCGGTGGAGAAGGAAGATAGTTGAATGGAGGCCAAGAGAGGAAGCGTACTGAAATCGAAGACGGCCACCAGATAGGCGGACAGACGACTGAACACGAGCGAAGACAAATTGAGGAAACTGGGCAAGGTTACGGGAGTAGACCTGGGTGACAAAGTGAATTTTCACGTGTTAACACAGCGATTTCGATACGAAGTGTTGCTACAGCGCGCCACACCTTATGTGTTAGGAGATAACAGAGACGCTGTGCTTCGTGAAGCTATGCCCCGCGTACAATGACTTTTCTCTTCTCTCCTTTTTTGTCAAAACTTGATGTTCATCGCAGGAAGGTGTAATTTGATCTCTGAACGTATTTTTCCACTCTAATCAACTTTTCGTCGTACTAGTTTTCGATATGGTCAAAAATGAAAACGCTTTATTCTTCGGAGAAAAATGATATTTTCTAATTTACCTCGAAAAAAACCTGATTTTACGTTGTTTTGGACCATGCAGAACTTTGTGTAAAAATAAGCTTTTTTTCTTAATTTAATCATACAACGATTGCTATATGGTGCAGTCGGTGTGTTGTCGGTAGTAAACGAGTCGACTTTTTTAAATTTTAGGTGTTAAAAATAAATAATCGCTAAACTCGAAAAACGTATGTCATAAAAAATATGGTGAAAATATCTCACTTTTAACTCACAATCGCAACTCAGCACAATGTTACCCGGGTCTACCGGGCGTAGCTTTCACGACGATGCAAGATTAAATTTTAAGTGTTGTTCAAGGTGTCGCGTCGTAAGAGGCGGGGTGTTAAAGCACATTGTCAGGCAGGGCAGCATCAACACTAAAGTGTCTAAAGACACAGTGTTACTCAGAATTATACGGGAAGATTCCGCCCAACACTGGACACGAGAATGGCTGGATGATGTTGGAAAGCCTGCGTACTTCAGCATTACCAATGTATCTAATAAGTTGTAACATCAATTACTAATTTCACAATAGTATTTTTCAAAACTATTTTTTTAAATGAAAAACAATTAAAAGTTCAAAACGAGGATACGCCACTTAAGATTAAATCTATTGACAACTATAGGCTTTGTTTTTGGTTTGACGTTTCTGTGTTAAGTGGCTTCTTACTTAATATAAAACAGGGCAAATCCATTACGCATCAGTGATCGTAGGGAAACGAAAATCGAAATAATGAAAGCGTTTATTTTGGCCAGCTTGTTAATAGTCGCCGTTGGTGCATCCCTGGAAAATTTTGGATCAACCTTTCAGTCTTTTAAGGTAGCAAAAACAGGGTCATTTTTGTCTGGATTCGATGCATTTCATTCAGTGTTATATAAATGCCAATAAATTATCCAGGACCTTTGCTTTGCATATAAATCATGTCTTTCATATTCACTTAAGGTCTATGTCTATTTCAGTTGAAGCATAGTAAGAACTACAGCAACCAAGTTGAAGAAGCAAAACGGTTGGCCATTTTCACGGAAAATTTTCGCGAAATTGAAGAACACAATGCCCTCTATGCAGCAGGACTTGTTTCTTACAACAAATGTAAGTAATTTGGTTGAATAGTGAAGTAAAGCCCATGTATTATTTCTATTTAATTTTCCAGCTGTTAACCAATTTACCGATTTGACTATTGACGAATTTAAGGCCTATCTCACTCTTCACTCAAAGCCTACGCTAAACACTGTTCCATATGTAAGAACGGGACTACAGGTCCCAACCACCCTGGACTGGAGGTCTCACGGTTATGTAACTGGGGTCAAGGATCAGGGCGACTGCGGATCCTGCTGGGCTTTCTCCATCGTAAGTTAATTTTTGTGTTTATGTTTCATTCTTGCAAATATTTCGGGTCAAGATTGGTGGAAAAACCACGGAGAATTGGTTCATCAGGAAGTTCTGACCTAATTTGTATGGTTTGTTTGTATCTCCAACCTTTTAAGTGTTACGGAAAATATAAAAAATATTTTTACAATTTTTACAGTGAAAAACCTACCGTAGATATAAACTATAGAAAATTTGGGTAAGTAAACGTCTGCTCGTATTTTATAAGTACACGCACTCAAGGTGTTTCTTGGTCCATCTGGCGTCAGTTGTTCTTGCAATGTATCCTGACGAAGTCCATTTTAATGCTGTTATTTCCCGGACGACATCCTCTGCACCTGTTTTTCTTCTGATTTCAATGTTCTCTTAACGAAATCCCCAGAAGAGCTCTCGCTGTGCTACTTCTAATTTATTGAAGATTTTTTTTTATCAGGGTATGTGTTTTCGCTCCGAATGTCATAACATGCAGGACACTTTGATTGGACACTTTTCTCTTCAAACATACGGGGATGTCATACCTAAATACATCCGTCAGGTTCCCAAAAGCTGCTCATTTCTTCTCCAAAACTCAGCAGTTTGGTTGTATCGACCCACACGAATTTCATGTCCAATATATCTGTAGGATGATACTAGTTGCACGTGTTCCCACGCAAGTAGGCCTGGGTAACAGTCTGTTGAGTTGCGCTTTTGAGTTGTTGCCGGTCTTTGAGTTTGTGAGTTATAACTAATTGGTTAATGAATTATAATACACCAATTCAGAGACCGGCAACAACTCAAAAGCGCAACTTAACACAGTTTGCCCAGGCCTACTTGAGTGGGCACACGTGCAACTTGTATCGTCCTGTGACATCCTGTGTTTTGTGACATCCACACATTTGGATGTCACTAAATGACTTGGCATCGTTTCATCACCAGTAGATCCGCAGAAATTGACTAATTAACTTTTGCTTCCATGTTATTCTTGATGATAGGGCACAAACAAAACTTTCATACTCAAACTCTCCACTTGGTTTAATCTTGCTTAGTTCAGCAGAAGTACAGCTTTGAAGTGCAGTTTACGAAGAAACACTCGCAGCCCAAATTGCATTCAAACAGTACTTTCGTGTGAATTCCGACAGCTTTACTGATTTATATAAATACATTTTCTATATTATCTTAACTGATTTTGAACCGTTTTGCAAGCAAAATATCAATTTTTATCTCGCCATTCTTTAAATAATTGTTGCCTAGACTTTTAGAATTCTTATTTATAGTTTGATTTCTTACTGATTTACACTGTTGTTTTCATCATCATCATCCGTGGCTTCACAACCCTGGGTGGATTTATTGTGACTCAAGCACACATTTGCGTCCTACCCTTTCAAGCATCCGATCATCCGTCTTTCAGGTCCTTTTTTTAAATATTATCTCACCATCTGAGGCGGGCCAACCCAATGGACGTTTCCCCTTGGAACCGCCTAACGGAGTCAGTTCTAGGCTTCTAGCAGGCTGTAGTATGGGGCCTCCTCTCCCCATCCATTGATTCGGAAAACGCTGATCAAGGTACTCCTTTACAGTTTGCCGATAATGTGCAGGACATACGTCATGTTGGAAGATCAAGTTCGGTAGAATATTTAGCGGAACATCTTCCAGTTGTGGTCGCAGGTGATTAATCAGAAAGTCTTCGTATCTTTGCCCACTTGTCGGGCAGCAAAAGTCGTCGGATTAGTTGATCGTTTCTTACACCACACCAAGCATTAGTACTGAATCGTCTTTGGTAATTACGGTTCGACATTAGACGGATATTTTGCTAGGCCGGTTATGCGCATTATGGTAGTGGGAAATTCCCTCCCGATTGAAATTTGATTCATCGCTCAACAAAATTCTACTGAGAAAAGTTGAGTTCTCCACAGCGGCGTTTTACATAAATCGGCAGAAGCCCAATCACCTTAAAGGATCTTCGTCGAGCAAGTCTTGACCCGGTGTATAATGATAGGGATGTAGTTGTTCAATATCGCCCATCCTTTCTACTGGGACTCTATAAGACGCCCAGCCACTACGCGAACGCTTGTTGGGGGATCTTCTTGTAAAACTCTCAGAATGGCTTCTTCGCCATTAGTGCAGTAACGTGCTGGAGCTCCTACGTGAATTTGTCTGACTTATACTTTTCCCGACTCACTGACCCTTCGATAGCTATTTTTAAAGACACGGTTATTTGGAAGACGGCTGTTTGGAAATCGATGCTGATATTCGCGGCGGGCTTTAGCACTATTTCCGTCGCAAAGTCCATGAATGTAACGAAAATTTGCGTATTCCGCATTTCAAAACTCAGCCATTTCAACTACCTGCTCGAAATCACGTACAACGTCAAAAGTAAGTGACAACTTCTTCAGTCCAGAAATCAGTAAAAAAACTAGTGCAGAGCCAACTTTTTAATAAAAACCCGATCATGCTGTGCAATAAATCAATTTTAATGTGTTTACTTGAAAACGGGAGGTCGTTGAAGAACCAGTCCATGTTGGCAGGAAATCCTTTGGGAGCAATCAAATACACTGCTTGGGAATAATTGTGATGAATGAGAAAAGAATGAAAAGTGCAAGAGACACACACTCCACGATTGTTAATACAGGGTCATATTACAAGTCAAGACCTGACTCCAGGCTTTGGAGGAACTTGGCTTTCTTCTCATGAACAGCTTTGGTGAGAGAAACTGCCACTTGCCTCTCCGTTGAAACATATCTCATCATCAACAACTTCTCCTCTTTTTTTTCTACCAGAAAATGATGTCTCATATCTATGTTTTGTTCTGGCTTGATAGGTTCCATTTTGCGTCAAGCTTATGGCCCTTTGGTTGTCAATGTTTAATAATACTGTAGGGCCCGTACACTGCCCGAACTCTTCACTTAGTCTTCTCAACTATAAGGCGTCTTGTGCTGCCAGGTTCATAGCCACATATTCTTGCTGTGGTCGACAGAGCAACTATCGATTGCCTCTTTGTTGTCCATGAAATAGATGTACCGTTTTTGAAAAATACATATCCTGTAACTGATTTCCGATCGTCTACGTTATTGGCTCAAACAGCGTCTGTGTAACTAACTCTTTCACTCCTCTTTCGGGTGGATCCGTCAAATTCTAAACAATAGTTCATTGCACCCTTTAAATACGGAAGGATACGTTTAGCTACAGTCCAGTGTTTTAGTCCTAGGGTCTGTGTAAATCGGCTTAAATTGTTAACTGCATGGGATATGTCAGGCCTTGATACTTGCGCTGCAATTAGAAGACTTCCCACAAATTCTTGGAAACCCACGTTGGACATTTTCTTGCTTTCGCGTTCTCTGCTTGGTGACATACTTTAGGACAACTTTTCACTAAGCAAAACTGGAATGTCTACTGGATTACACTCAACCATATTGTATTTATTAAGCATGTTTTCTAGATACAACTTTTGATGCCACCAAATCTTCCTACTCTTCCTATAAAGTGTAAGTTGCATACCACGTATATACCGAGTAAATATGGCTTCTCCTATAGCTTTCATTTTAAATTCTGACATTAGCCGATTTTTCAGTATTAGTTTGGCCGTAATAAAGAGTTTTCCAATAGGGTCGATGTTGAAATGGAATAAAATAAGCTGTGTGTGAGGGATTAACGAAATTCGTTTTTTATTTGCATATGCCGTGTGTGCCATTATGTATGGAATATGAGATAGTTCAAATATCCGCCGCGACTTCTCACGGTGGCACGTATCCGAGAGATCTAATTTTCAATGACTCTGCCTCATAAATTTGAGCGACATTTGCGCGATGGGCTGGGTTATGTTAACTTTGTGGGCATCGGTTGATTGCGGCTTATTGGCATACACCCTTGACTTCAGAAAACCCCACAAGAAACAGTCGAGCGGGGTCAAATCGCACGATCTTGGTGGCCAATTCACATCACATCTGCGAGAGATAACCATACCCTCAAATCGTTCTCGCAGTATGTCCATCGTCCCATATACGGCAATTTTGCGCAAAAGTGCACCTCGTCGCTAAAGATGATTTCTCGTCCAAAATTGGGGTCCTCTTCCAAACGCTCCGAAGCCCACTTAGCAAACAAGCGAACTTTGATCTCCTAGGTCAGTTGGATTTTGTACGGGTGCAGATCCAAATCCCGACCTAAAATTCGCCAAGTTGAAGTCTTCGAAAGGACGAGTCCTTGTTCACGGCGATTAATTGACTCTCTCGGGTTTTCCTGCAGAGATTCACATACTGCAGCAATGTTTTTGGCAGATCTGGCGTTTTCTTACATAGGGGTGTTGGCTGAGTGTTTACCGAACCTGTTGTAGCGAATTTGGCGACCAAACGTTGGAGAGTAGACTTTAAAGGGCCACCGCGTCTACTGTGAATTGGGCGCGAGGCGCGCAACGTTTTCACTAACAAAAAATCATTTTTATAATAAAGTTTTATCATTTGGACGTGCTGCACAATCGTGTAATTTGTCATAATGATTTGGCATCGGACAAAATCATGTCGTCCACGCTCACATAGATTGCAACGAAAAGTATTAAGGGCTGAGTAATTCTGTGGTAAATGCATGGATATATTTTCGACTGTGTCAACTCACATTTCTTAAGACATTCATCTAATTTCACATTCCATATGCTACTAGCCTGTTTAAATTCGTATAATGACTTTTTGACCTTGCAAATCTTGTTTGATTCTGATTAAAAACCGTCAGGTTGCATCATGTATACATCGTCGGTTAGATCTCCTTGTAAAAAAGCCGCTACATGATCTAACTGATCGATAATTTAATAGTTCCCATGTTCTGTTCTCAATCAATGCTGAATATTCTTCGTCCATTGCTGCATGCCGTTTATCACAATTAGGCCTACTTAGGGCAAAACTGTTGGCGGATCTCCAAAATGAACCAAGGTCGTAAACGCAACCTCATAGTCATCAAGATTTTTAGGTGCTTTTCTTACGCTTTCAGCTTTGGCTTTGGCTTCACACCGCTCCAGGCTTCTTCTGCGGTTTTCCCTTTGAGACACTTTGTAGGTGATCGATTTAGCAAATGAACTGCCGTAAAAGCAGCTTCTGCCCAAAAATCATTGGGCAACTCGGAATCAATCAGCATATTTTTCACTTTTTCAAAAAGCGTGCGATTTAAACGTTCTGCCTTGCCGTTCTGCTAAGTTGTTGTTTTGCATGTCGCTATATTGCCCTATTTTACGTTTTCTAGGTTGGGTCCACGGAAGGTGCTTACTACAAAAGTACTGGAGAGCTGGTAAGCCTATCAGAACAACAACTAATAGACTGCACAACCAACATAAATGCTGGATGCGATGGTGGATACTTAGAAGAAACGTTTCCCTACGTTCAGCAAACCGGCTTGGTGTCTGAAAGCAGTTATCCATACACTGGTAAGTGATTATTGTAATTTTGCGCAATATTTAATTAACTGATTTGAAATGTCTGGAAACAGAGCGTGATGGTAACTGCAAATTTTCCGTGTCCGACGTGGTAGCCAAAGTGAGCAAATATGTTTTGGTTAGTGGAGAAGCTGATCTTTTGGAAGCCGTTGGTTCCGTAGGCCCCGTATCTGTGGCGATGGACGCTTCCTACATCTATTCCTACGCTTCAGGAGTTTACGAAACCAACCTGTGTGCAGAATACTCTTTGAACCATGGTGTTCTTGTTGTTGGATATGGAACTCAGGACGGTAAAGACTACTGGCTGATCAAAAACTCGTGGGGAAGCACATGGGGAGAACAAGGCTACTTGAAACTTCTGCGTGGCAAAAACGAATGTGGTATTGCCGAGGACGATGTGTACCCGATCATATAAGCGAATTTATCTCGTTACCTGCAAGTTATTTTTAATCTTAACATGTTTTTTTTATAAATATACGTGATAACATGAGTATTGCTTCATTTTTCTTAAAACAAACAGATGGACGGTTTGCTCTTCACCAGACGTTTTCAAATTGTTTCCATTTCGCCATTTTCAATAATTACTTTCTCAACTTTATGTCAGTTTTGTGACTTTTACAATAATACATAATGCTGTTAATCAAGTGTGCTGCTTCAAAAAGTAAAATTTTCCGTCATTTTTTAAGACATTTATGCCCGGTTTCTCATAATAATTTTATAGTTCCAATAGTCTAAACGGTTCTATAAGTCGGAAAATAGGTTTCCGAAACGTTCTACGAAGTTTTTGATATTCTTAATAGTGAAATAATTTGCCACTTTTGAGCACGGAATTATCGTTTTGTGAAATACAGCGAAGATAAATTCCGAGATCGTTTTCATTTAACTAAAAACGTTATTCACTACCTAGAAGAGGAACAAATTCAGCCAGTGACAGAAAGAAACCATAGTCTATCTGTTTCCGAACAATCGCTAATTACTCTAAGATTCTAAGCAACAGGTAGGATGATAAAATATATTTACATATTTAGGAATGTTTTCCGGGTTTTGAAGCCGTGGTCTATCGGAATTTCTTCCTGACGTTTCGTCCACAACTGCGGTGGACATTTTCAAAGGCGATGAGGCAGTGAGCGAAGTGATCTCCCGTGCTTTGATGGATTCATTCACAAAAGTGTACAATGGATCCAGTGCATTTTGTTGGCTAGTTCTATATTGACAGGTAAGAGTCTACTGTCAATATGTGCAAGATCTCGGCGGGTTTCGTGTATCCGTTCCCGTAAAAGAGCTCGTTCCGCCCGGTTGTAGATATTCTTGGCCTGGTTGGTTCTGAAGTATCTCTTCATCTTCAAGAAGGTTGGAATGATCTTCTTTTCACGGCATCGTAGCAAGAAAGCCAGTGAACACAAAACCTGCGCCTTCTTCTTACGCAGGTTTTCCAGTTGTCGAATCAGTCTCGATGTATCCTCCCCGTAGAGGCGTTTTATCAGACTATGAAGGCTTTCACGGCCGGT